TATCTTCTATCAGTTGCTCAGTTTCCCATGTTTTCCCCAATCCCATTTGCAGAAAAAGCTATTCTAGGACTTCTCAAGGTCTGTCTCAAGCTCTTTTCTGCACCTAGAGAGGACAAACAAGCTGAGGAGCTTATATTCAAGTCCATAACTTTAATGTGGAAGCTTGATAAAGAAATTCTCGACACATGTCATGATGTCATATCACAGACAATTAGCAAAATACTTATTGAATACCCTGCAAATGTGCAGACACAAATCGGATGGAAGTCGATGCTAAATCTGCTATCAGTTGCATGGAGACATCCTGATACATATGATGTGGGAATTGAGGCTTTGATAGCATTATTCTCTGATGGTACCAACATATCACGTGCAAACTATGCATCTTGCATAGATTGTGCCTTTGGTTGTTTTTTAGCCAAGAACAGTCCAGTAGACAAAAAGAAGAAGATACTGGACCTATTGGCTGATTCGGTAAAATTGTTGATTCAATGGCACAGAGGCCAATACTCGGATCCGGGAAGTAATGGTGGTACAGCAAGCTACGGAACCAATTCCTCCACGGAGGACAATTTAAGAGGTCCTTCTTCAGCAAACTACAACATGAACCTATTTGTGAAACTTGGAGAAGCATTTAGAAGGACAAGCTTATCAAGACAGGAGGAGATAAGAAACCATGCAGTTTATTCTCTTCACAAGAGTTTCAATCTAGCTGAGGATCTTCTTTTCATGCCATCAAACTGCATCAACTATTTCAACCTTGTGATTTTTGCCATGGTTGATGAACTTCATGAGAAGATGTTGGAGTACTCAAGGAGGGAAAATGCAGAGAGGGAAACAAGGAGTATGGAAGGGACCCTTAAGCTTGCAATGGAGCTGTTATCAGATATGTACTTGCAATCATTAAAACAAATAACTGAGTCTCCAGGATTTAGGACATTCTGGTTAGGCATATTGAGAAGGATGGACACATGCATGAAGGCTGACTTGGGACAGTATGGTCCATCAACTTTGAGTGAAATAATCCCTGATTTGTTGAGAAAGATCATTACACAAATGAAGGAAGAGGGTATTTTAGAGCCAAGAGAAGACGATGATATGTGGGAGATTACATATATTCAGATACAGTGGATATGTCCTCCTCTCAAGGATGAGTTGTTTCCATTATAGACTAATTTTTTACTCCTTTTTCTGTGTCATTTATTACACCATTCACTGGTTCTTTTGTAGCACACTTCCTCTATTCTTCAACTTGTGTCCAGAGGATGTAAAGCAGTAGTATTTTATTCCCTTAATCTTAGTGGATAGTTCTCGTCTCATACATATTTAAAGGGTAGCCAAACTAATGTATTTGCATTTTTTACGTTCTTGGGGATATTTTAATTTTATTAAAACATCCCACTACTTTGTATCCTGAAAAATGTAAACCATGAATGCATTATTTTTCCAAGATTTGGTTTCAATTTCAACCTCATATTATACTCTACTTTTATATACCGTTTTTGTTTGTTGATTCCTATAGTTCAAGGGCGATAAGCCATTTCTTCTCATAGGTTTGCATTCCAGAGTCAATAAATCTGTAACAAAATCGACGATGCATGTGTTGTTTGACATCATTTTCTTTTTAAATTTAAAAACCGATATCAGACAAAATTTTAAACCCTCGAACATCAATAATATCATCAATTTAATCATTCGATTGTACGAATTTTACGTTTAATTCTTTGAAGATAGAACTCACGCAATTATAACTCTTGCGTTGCGCATACATAATCAGACATCAAAATATTTTAAAAGACCTAATAAATCCATTATTTGCTCCAACGAATGAAAATTTGGAGTGAACACAAAGGATATGTTAAATAATATGTTCAAAATCAAGCTAATCATTAAACCGACAATTCAATAATAAGTTTAACTATATTCTTAATTTCCATAAAGTGAGAGTATTTAAATTTGTTTATTTTACAAGAATAAAGAATATATTTAACTCCTAAACTGTGATGTACTAAAATTGAGAAATAATAATAAAACATATTTTTAACATTATATATAAAACAATAAAAAGTTAAAAGAATTAATTCAACATAGGATATAATAAAATATATTTTATAAAATAAAATAATTCATAATTAAAAATAAATTAATTTTGATGTTAAATATATGCTCTCAACCATCAAAAGAACCTTCCATATATTACAATTAAATAATTATATTAAAGCTTTTACATTGTTAACACATTTTAATTTAATGTTTAACTAATAAAAAATAAAAATCTATGCAAACTTTTAATTATTTTAAAATACTTTAGTATAAAAATATAACCAAATAAAAACCATTTTTTTTAACTAGCTTCTCTAACGATTTTTATCCAATTTTGACTCATTACTAATTCTCATCCATATGTTTGCTATTTTTCGCATTTCCAAATATGTGGTAAATATTATTATTAATAGTATAAAAACTTTGACTTGTCCAAGGAAGAAATCCACTATTCTTAATAATACAAAGACAAAAAAACCGTTCCTAAACCACAATAGATTCAAACCAATTTCCGATCAAATCATGAATAGCTTTTGGTGACTCTGTTATTCAGGTTGTAATAAAAATAGGATATTAAATATTAAAAAATGTTTTAATAACAAAAGCTCTTGGATACATAGAAATAATAAAAAAGACAGTTAAACGGAGCTCTTACACTGAAATAGCAAAAGGACAACAAACCTTGCTAACATTATTTTTAAAGTAAATTTGTAGTTTTTTATCGGTTTGACTAGTAAACACATTATGTAAAAGAGTTGTTGTCGAGCTCAAAGAGCCATCATAAAAAATTCCAAATAATGACATCTACATTCTCAATTCAGTGGAGGTGTGTGGATATAAGTTTAGTATACTACTATTAACATTTAATTTCCATTCAAAGACATAAATTACAGAAATGTGCTGCAAATTATTTAATGGTCCACAAAAATTATTGTTAGTTACCTACCCATACAAAAATATTACCCCTTTGAATTACCTTCCCCATTATCAGGGAACACAAAGGTCGAAAACCTTCTGGGTGCAGCTCTTTTTCAGCTTGTAGACATCGTTCCCTCCAAAACTGGTGCACTATCAGGATATCACCACCTTTCCAGGATTATCTCCTAAAACAGAAAAAAATAATAAACAGTGCAATATCATTTTCACATATTATGGAATAATCAGATACCCTGCACCATTTAAAATTAACAACTAAACGTGCAACTATATAGTTACGAATCCAAACTGCCAGATTATGAAAGCACGCCTCTTATGGATAATGAATCAATGCAACGCAAACTACCCCATAACTATACTTCATTCTAACTAACTATAATACATTGTCCAACTTTATAAGGAGGCTTGTTGGCATCCTAAAGTGTGGATATTGGGCCATCTCAGCATTCTAACATATGATCTGATTAAACAAACAGTATCAGTCATACTTCCTTCAACTACTCATCAAAATAAACGTGATGTTAAATTGCCATACCTGACTTGGTCATCCGTTAGCCTGAAAAATTTCTTAAAATATTTTAAGCCCCTATCAAATTCAAGTTTTCCGGCTCTGCTCTTGCCCATTCCTGAAAGTACTCCTTATTTAGCTTAAGATACATTAGTCCCTAATAATACAAAAATCTCACATTATTCTCCAGAAATTATAAATTTTGGTCTTATAGTCCTTATGCAAGGGACACACTATTCTTTGAAAAGGATAAATGTGGCCAACATTTGAGATTTCCCGGGACTAATGTGAGCATTTTACATTCTTGAGGACAGATGTCTCTGCTGTTAAATTTGTCAAGGACAAATTTGAGAGTTTACACTTTGTTTCTCTCTCTTACAAACACAAGTTTTTCTTAATATTATAGCAAAACAGCCTCTAATCTCATTTCTTCGGAATCCCTATATCAGTACTTCATAGCAAGCAAGTAAATTACAAAGTATATGTTATCATATGGAATCTAAGTGGCTTTCAAATTTCGTTGACTGTGTGATGCGAGACCCCCAGGTAATATGAAATGTCTAACCAAAGCAAGCTAATGATTCGTCTATGAAGCGCATTGATCCTGAACTATTCAAAAAGCTAAAAGAGTGAGCTTCCTTTCTCAAGTTCACACCCATAACTGTGTCAATCCATTGAAAATGCTAACTTCATTGATTACCAATCACCATATACCATTTGCTCCATTGATAAGGAAATCATTGACAAAATAGACAGGACTAAAGTCTATTCTTGCTTGTGACTACAAACATCCTTAAGAAAAATAATAAAATCATGTTCAAGGTTGCCTACCAAAATCCCAATCAATTAATATAAAGTGAAGCCTATAATATACCCTTCCTCGTGAATATTCCTCTGGAACTCAACTCTATATAATATTCACAAACAATGTTTTTGTTAGAAATATGCATTTCTTGAGCACCTTAGTAAATTAATTTGATAATAGCTATGTTCCTATAAATATAACATCTTAATCCAGAAGTACAATCTTGAACTTACAGGGAAAATTCAACATGTTCTTTAATAGTTCAATTTCATACCAAACAAATTTGGTCATCTTATTCAAGAACAAGAGGAAACCAAAGTATATACATCCAAATCACAGTGACACACAGTCCAATATGCCAGAACAATATAAAATATACTTAGGGGTAAGTTCAGGTAAGCAGCTTGCTTAACTACTTATTAAATAAGTTTTTATCATGCTAGTGTTAATAAATAAGTTGTTTCTATAATTGAACAAGTAATAAGGTTAAACTGTTTTCATATAAGCTGTAGCCTATCCTGAGAGCTTACTGAAATAACCTGAAAAGCTAAACAACTTACAGAGAAAATCATAAGCTATTTTCATTAGCTTGCTCAGACGCTTACACAAATGCTTTTATCATAAGTGCTGATAAATTATAAATAAGTTCTTCCAAAATTCCAAACACACCGTTAATCAGTAACCAACCTACCAACCCACCTACCTACATCATTCACTGAGATTCTCCGTCGAAGTGTCAGTATCCTCCTCATCCCCTTCCTGAATTTTGGCAATCTCCGCCTGCGCCCTCTCGAGAATCTGCTTCTTCTGCAGCTCCAACTCCCTGTTAAAATCCAGCCTCATCTTCTCCAACTCCATCATCTGCTGCCTCTTGCTGTTCTCAATCTTCTCATAAATCTTCCCAAACTTCTGAATAGAATCTGCCAACACGCGGAACGATGTCTCATCCTCCTCATCCTCCGCAGCAGCCCCAGCCCCACCACCACACTCCTCTTCCTCATCATCATCATCACTCTCAGACTCCCCTGGACTGTCCCTCATCTCATCAAACCCATTGGACCTGTTCAAGTAAACCCTTGTGTTCATAAACACATACTCCCCAGAATCTACCCCACATGCAAGACCATACTCTTGCCTTGCAGAGGAAGCCATCAACATGTCCATCTTCTTGAAGTAGGCCCATTTGCAAGAGCCCAACCCCATTTCATCCATTCTGGTTTTCTCCTTCTTGTACCTTCTCTTCAGCTTGTCCAACACGCTCCTACACTGCGTTACGCTTCTCTCTGTCTTCAATTCCTCCGAAACCTTTTCGGCAACCTCGTGCCATTCCTCGGACCTCAAACTGTTCCTACCGAGCTGGAGGAACTTGTCCCCCCACGCCTCCAGCAGCACGAAAGTCTCGTGCTCGCTCCACTCTTCAACGGAGGAACCCGAACCGCGCGAACCGTACGAGAACTTGACACGTGGCGCGAACTCGTAGGACCCTGGCGCAACTACCACCTTGCGCTTCTTCGGGATCCGGGGATACCCGACGACGTCGTTTTCGTCGTAGCCGTTTTCGCCTTCGTCGTTGTCTTCGTCGAAATCTTCAGGTTCGTTTTCTTCGTCGTCATCGCCGTCATCCACGATGGGCTGGTCGTAGCGCGGGGGCATTGGACGATGGTAAGGGGCGGCGCGTACGGGGTGTTTGTGGCGGTGAGAGGGGTTCTGACGATTGAGGGAGAACGACTTGGGAGGGTACCTTGCGTCGTCTTCCATGTCATCCATGGGTGTATGTGATTATTGGGATCGCAGAGATTGCACGAAACAAAATCGCGATTTTAGTGAAGGATTTGAGGAATGATAGGAGAATTGAATTTGGGGAAGGGTGAAATTGGGTTAGGGTTTTTGTGTGGTGTCAAATTTGGGGAATTTTCGATTTTCAGACACCTTTTCTCTTTCCTTCTTTCGTGTTTGTGAAGGACCAGTATTTGGGCTGAAAATAGTGGGCTTTCGGAATGGACCATTTTAATCGGCCTAATAGATATTTCAGTTTTTTTTTCCCTTATTTTTAGACATAAGAGAATTTAACAGCTTTTTCTTCTTCAGAATATCAATTTTTTTTTTAACACTAAAAACCTTCTCGTCTCTTCTTCACACACCCGTTTAAAGAATAAAATTGATATTTATCCCTTCTAATTTTACTAATATACCTTCATTTCTTTTACATAAATTATTTATATTTTTCACACTTTTGAAAAGTATATCAAACTACTTTAAAATTTTAACTTTCCGAAATATTTTTTATAAAAAATATTATAAAACGGAGATATATTAGCAAAACTCAAAGTTATATATATATATATATATATAAATAAGCAAATTAAAAGAGTGGAATTGTCATGAATGATAATATTTTTTAAAACTTTTCATGTGGATTTTATAAGAAACTTTGGGGAAATCTGTTAATTTTTATAGAAAACTTAAATAAAAAATTTCTTGCAAATATAACAAATTTTAATAATATTAATGAACTACTTTATCTTAATGAATATGAATTTAAATGATTTTGAGTTAAAGATTATTAATAAGTTTATCCCAATTAGAAATATGGCATAATTATAATTATATTATAAGATATAAACCTTAATTTATAATCTTATTTTATGATGATGATGAGTTTTACTCTAATTCATTAATATGATATCAAACCTATAATAATTATTTCTAACAAAATATTAACACTAATACAAAATGAGCTTTTTAACATCGGTTCAGTCATACTTTTTTCTTTTTTTATAACTCTTCTCTATTTATCTAGAGGTCCTTATCCCCTTTATATTATATTTTTATTATTTATTATATTTTTTAGAAATTTGAATGATTAGTCGGAGGTTGATACTTTAACCACTAGGTTACTAGAATTTATTAATAATAATTTACAAATAAATTATATTTATATACAAATAAATGTATATCCGTGTAAATATATAAATATAAAATATATAAATACAAATATATTTATATATTTTGATATATTTATATAGTTATATATTTATATGTTGATTAAAGGCGCTCGAGAGTGAAAGTGTGTGTCGAGTGGGTTTTCAAAATTTAATGACAAGATATAATCTTTATAATTTATTTATATAATGATATAAAATAATTTTTTTTATTTTATTTTATTTTATTCTTTTTATCTTTTGTTCTTCTATTATTTAATTAAAATTCTTATATTAAAATGATTTTTTCAATATTAAAAATACTTATATATTTATTCTTAAAATTATTTAATTTAACAAATTATTATAAATTAATCTAATTATGATTAAGGGTGGAGCTATTCCAACTTGGGCGATTGAGGTTGATTCGTTGCAATTTGGTTCGCAGAGTGAGGGACGCGAGGATGGATGAAGGGAAATGAAGGTTAGGGATTCGATTGGGGAAGGAGATTGGAGGGACGGTGATTTTCGCGACTGCGATGGGGGTAGGGGAGTAGGCGAAGAAGGTTTTGGTGAGGGGATAGCTGGAAGTGGAGGAGTTGAGTTCCAATGGTTGAGCTGGGCATTGCGGTGAATGGGCAGGAGAATGGATTTGGGAGGTTGGGTCTTGGTAATGGCTAAAAATGAGGAGCAAAGGAAGAATGAGTGAAAATGGAGGTTCCCATGAGAGAGGCGAGCTTGTAAGGGAGATAGATATAAAAAGTCTCGTTTAAAATTTTTATTAATTATTTTTTTAAAAAAAAAACTTTTCACATCGGTTCATCTAGGAATCGATGCTGATTTCTACATCGGTTCTCGATAAACCGATGTGGAAAGTCTTAAAAAAATTCAAAATTGTCACCGCGTCACTTTCTGCACCTGGTTCTTTAAAAACTGATGTAAAAAATAGATTTTGTATTAATGAACTTTTTCACGTCAAGTATACTAAAACCGACGTAAAATATCATGTATAACATCGGTTGATTAAAAACCAATATAGAATGTGTTCAAAAGTCAACTTTCAACGTCATTTTTTAATTAACTGACGTTGAAATTATATTCAAGGTTGTTTCAGTTTTAACCGACGTTAAATGACGACGTGAAAAACATATTCTGTATTAAAATCTATCATATTTTTAAAGATAATTTATATGCAATTTTTTTAGCTAACTTTAAAGGGTAAACAAGATTTTTTTTAGTAGTCTATTACATCTAATTTATAAGCTACAATTTTTTTAAGAACAGAAAGTCTTCTTGCATTTCCATGTGCTTTAACATTTATCTTTTTTTTTTTTTCTCATGCAGAACAATGATACTACTAAGCATAAACTGCCACATACTATAAGAATAAAAAATTTTACTTGGCAGAACAATTAGGTAACTGATTTACAAGTATAAAAGCTCGCAATTTCATGATTTGAATTTTATCTACACGAATAGCTTTTGAACTTGTAGAACTCGGATATTTATGATTGATTTTATTCTCAGACCAGAAGAATCATGTGACAGTAATGTTTTTAACATCATGCAAACTTGAAAGTAAATTACGTACGTAAATTTTGCAACACTAAGCCGACACAGTAGGTATAACCGTGTGTACGTGAATGTATACTTAGATTTATTTACATCCAGATTTTATATCCTGTTCTAGTTTTATCTTCAACTTGGAGTTTTGCACCAACAGCAACCGATAGAATTAATTATGCAGACTGTAACAAAACTATGATGCAGACTGGTCCTGTTTACATTTATAGCTTCATCTAACTCAATTAATTATGCTTCTTCCTATAAATACATACTTAAATTAAGATAAAGAAGTAATTGAAAAAAACAAGACTTCATTAAAAGTATTGATACTGTTCTATATCATAACAGCATAAATTATAAAAAATACTCGAGTTAAGGTTGGAATATCTCAGAATTAATCCACATGGTCCATATATTTCCCCATCACCATCGACCACACCAAGAAATATTGGATGCTAGTGTGGCACCATCCTGACAAAATGATTCCATTATATTACAACAGTGTTACCCCCTATTGTGCTCACCGTATTGTAGTGCATATCTCATGCAAATCAAGTGATGAACAGGTACTTTACTGTGAAATATTTATGACATATCGACCAAGAACTTTGTTCAAATGATAGTATTAGGGTACTACTCACAAATTACCATCTTATTAGCTCGTCATTTCTTTATATCTCTTTCTTCTTCTCATTTCACGTAACTAATCACATCACTTATTCATCTCTCTAGTTGGGAAAATCAGTAAGTGAATCTAGATATCACCACCTATATGTATGATCTCAATTAATAGTCATGTAAGATTGATGAGGATTATGGTTGTCCAAAATTATTTAATGATTTTCTGTTTATCTTCCTATTTATTTTAAGTTGTAGACAATAAGGGGTTTGTAAGAATGATTTTCCTAAATTTTTAAATATAATATTATAATTTTAATAAATTTTAGTTAATAATAAAAATGTGATGGAGTACAGAATAAGTTAGTAATATAATTTGTGGATGGAGACAAAATATAAGTGTGGGCATGCAGTGGCCAATCATGAATGCGAATGGAACGTCACGTTACTGGCATGTGGTAGAGCTGAGCTATTACTCTGATGGAAGGTAACTTGTGAGGTTGCAATAAACAACATTTTCCTAACCCTCCAACTGCACATTAAATTCTAGTCCTCTTTTACATTTTTTTGCAATAAAGATTATCATTCATTCACATGCAAGAGAGAACTATATAATTGCATGCATACATGGTGAGAAATTAAGAGAGGCCATCCTAACTATATGGTAGTGTGACTGAGGTGTGTATACTGTTATTTGCACGCAGTAAAATATTATAAGATCGTGATGGAGAGGAAGTTCATATCGGTTTTGGGGGTATGTTTGGTGCTGGTAATGTCCCAGTATGTTGATGCAAGGAACTTGGAGAAAAAATCAAAGGAAGAGGTGAAGAAGCCAGAATCCTGCATAGATACAGGGTCCATTGGTGGTGTGGGTGGAGGAAGTGGCGGTTTAGGAGGAGGGTATGGCGGAGGAGGTGGAGGTGGTAGTGGTTTAGGTGGTGCATTTGGAGGAGGAGCTGGTTTAGGTGGTGGATATGGCGGTGGTAGTGGTCTAGGTGGTGGAATTGGTGGGATTGGTGGGATTGGAAGTGGTAATGGTCTAGGTGGTGGATTTGGAGGAGTTGGAGGTGGTAGTGGTCTAGTTGGTGGAATTGGTGGAGGCATTTACAAAGGAATTGGAATTGGAGGGGTTGGAGGTGGTGTAGGTGCTATAGGGGGAATTGGTGGTGTCATTGGTGGTTTCAAGCATGTTGAAGCTAATAAGCCTTGAAAACTTATAAGGAGTTACGAACGTTCAATTATTCCAGATTTGTGATGGTATAGTTCTATGATTAATCTATGTTTTCGTTCTAATGTCTTTCAGTACCCACAAATAAGTTCACGTACGTACCAGTATGCATGCATGCTTAATTTCCCGTTCATTTGATGTAAAAGATCCCCAGAATACACCTCTCATTCAACATTGCATCTTGTAGTTCATGAATTATGGTTACTAAATATATGAAAATATTTGTCTTTGTATCATGAGGATGGGGAGTATATGAACATTTTTCTTACAAAACTGCATCAGAAAGTCCAAAATATCTGACAGAAAAGAAAATAACTTCAGCACTACCAAGGAATTATTTCTGTAACTGTGTATGAAAAGCTAACCAAACTGCAAGTTGAAGTGCATGATCACCGCTTGGGTCACGATGGTTTTGTATGGGTTTCGTGAATAATTTTATTACATTGTTTTTACGATTGAATAATTTTATTGAAACCAAGGTGTCACGGTCACCTGAGTATAAGGCATGCCAAATATCCCAAAAGCAGAAAGTAAATATACATAATTTTAATCTGCAGAATCAAAAACATTCATTGAATATAACCACCGACAGAGGCTATAGCAACTGTCCGAGTCTTAAGACAGACACCTTCATTTCTGGGAAAATTTTAAGGAAAGAAATAGGCATTTTTATCCATGAACACGAATTAATCACTTCCAATTCAAAATCTTAAAATTATAAAAAGTTTGTGGATATTTACATGTTACTTAACATAAAGTAAGATGGATGAATAAAAATGAGTACTCTCTCATAACTTACAAGAAGATATGATAGAATAAAGTAAAAACCAATGCATTATTGTCATTTGCACAATTAATTAAGTAAATGGAGTGTGCTGGGTGCATTAAACTGTAGCAGGGTCAAAAGTAGCCATTGAAATTAAGAAAATTATATGAGCATGGCTTAATTGCTGGTACGGATCACTCATATTATCATAAATGAACAAACTAGTGGGTGTGTGTCTTGGTGGAAAGGAATCTATCTCTACTTTATAAAGATTTCTAAAAAAATGAACAAAAAAAGTTAAAATTAATTTATGCACAAACTAAAAATATTTTTTTAAAAAAATATATCAAAGCGTTTTTACATAAGTTATTTTTAATTTACAAAGGACTCAATTTTATTTTTACTAATTTTTTTTAGAAATTATTATTAAAAAAAGTTATGTGCAAATATATTTTTTCAGAGTGAGTGGTTGAGCATTTTGTTCCTTAGCTACTTTCCATCACACATAGTTAATTGCTACTATTTTCTGGATCTTGCTGGTAAGAGTATTTAGAGATTATATAAATTGCACTCACAATTATTTATTAAAAATTAACAGTTTATTATTATTATTTAAGATTCTAAAAGGCATATGTAGTCAACACAAACTATATAAAATATATATATATATATATATATTACTATTTATACTTTCAGAATGTATGCCTATGTTTTAAATTTATGAAACCAAATCAATTGTGAGTATATTTTTTTAATAATGTATTTGATATGCATGTGTTTTATCAACAATGCATTTGATAAATGTTGCGTTAAGAACGCGAGCACATTCCCTCTCTGAATTCATGTTTATGATAATAAAATTAATTTTTGTGTTCAAAATATTAGATGTTTTTGAATTTTAATTCATTGCATAAATTATCTTTTACGTTTATTCCGAACCTATAAGATTTATGAGCATAAGAAACTATATTTATTAGTCATCTAAATATAATTCGAGTATATTGAATATTTATAAAAAGAAAAATAAAGGTTCCCTATCTCTTCATCATGTCAAAGAAATACACGCTTAATCATTTTACCTCTAAATTTCTGCACTTACAATCCACATTTAATTTCTGCCACTTTCTTCTTTCTATATTTTCCAAGTAGTCATGCTCTCTGGAAAAGCCATTGGTAGCAAAATATCATTACTTACCAAAATGTTTCCAACAACTTTCTTTTCTGTTTTCATTTCAAGACAAATGGCTAGAAATTAAATTATTTCTCTAAATAATAATGATCTTTAAGATGATAAAACTAATCACCAATTCAATTAATAATTAAATTAGAGTCTAATTTTAATAATTAATTAAATAGTTAAAGTTTAAATATAGGCTATAGAGTCTCATATGATATAAAAATAGGAAAGTTGATCATCGTGTATGTTCTCTTAATGTTTGATTTATAATCCATTGATGAATTTCTCTCCACTTTTACCCCTCAAAATTGTCCAACAAATGGATTATCTCACTGAGTATAACTTAAACATCCTTTTATATTAAAAGTCAATATCTTTTTCAAGAGAAAATATTTTAATAAGGAAGGAACTCATATTCAAGAAGGAGATGATTATAGTTGAAATGTGTCTCACATTGTATGAAAATAGGAAAAATAACATATTATTTTATCTTGGTGCATCAAATCCATTGGTGATTTCTTCCTCTTAATAATTAATTTTTTTTCTCTAAATTAGTCTATATTTAATATTTTTATAATAGTTATCTTGTTTGATATATTTGCAAAAAATAACTAAACCTACACCGGTCAAAATTTGATAATTACACAGGTGGTGGGGATCATTCACTTTTCCCCCATTTTGATAATTGTGTTGGTGGTCATACGTGTGTTAGGAAGAACTTAGTTGAAAATCACTGCTGAATAAGGTGCCATTCCCATCCAAAGTAGAAAACATAGATTTTTATTTTTATCTTTTTGTCAAAAGGGCGATTTAATGCGAATTATGATATGATTCTTTGTTTTTGAGTAGTGGTTAAAGTATTGAGTGAATTTTAGAGAAATTATAAGTAGCTTTTATGCAAAAAAAAAAAAATATTTTGTTATATCCATCAAGTGATTTTCAGTGGGGCACGGCTTATCCAGCAATCCTTAACATGAGACTAACACCAAACCCTAATCATGTCATTAAATGACGTTTGCACACAAAAAAAATAAATGAATTGAACTCAATAAAACAATGCAAGACATTGATATCTTGTATACTGTGTTTGGACTCAAGAAACGTCATCGTATTTGTTTTGCATTTGACTATCTTCACTTACATATAAATTATAATTAACTTTTATGATGATTCTAAAACAATTTTCTTGTTTATATGTTTTCTCCTATTTATAAATCGTTTTATTTTATTTAAGAATAGTTTTATTTTGTAAATAAATAGAATTACAAAATTTAATGTTAAAAATTAATTAGATCTACGAATAAATAGCGTTGTATGATGCGTTATATATAGAATTTAAAACATATTTGTTTTTATATTTGGAACATGCCTTGCACTCTCAACTCGTTAGAAAAACTCAAAATACAACACATACATCATTAGTGTTTGAGGGAAATGATTTGTTTCGCATTATATATTTGTAGCAAGTGGATTGTCTTTATAATATATATTTTATCTTTTATTCAATTAAGATTTTATAATAATTATGTTTGAATAGAGATATAATTAACAATTATTTATCATATCTTTCACTATTGGCATTGTTCCATTTTTTTAATACTTTAATTGGTAAGAAAAATTGGTTATTTTATGTCGTATCACATTAAGAATACATTATTATGTGTTTTAATTAATGTTTTGTATGATATTAGTAAGAAAGATAACAATCCAACCGCTGTTATGAGGATTGTTCAGTTTCTACATAGAAGTTTATAAGAAAAAGTCATGTTAACCTGAAGTAAATTATGTTTGGATTTTCCCGTTTTAAAAAATCAAAAATATAAACATGAATAGATAATGTAATAGTTGTAACCTTAAATCATAATATTATTAAAATTAATTAATTATAATTTATGTATAAATTTATTGAAGTCTTCTTACATGTATATGTACTAGGGAAGTTGAAGTTGTTGTAGGAGCCTTAGATTTGTATCCTTTTGCATTGCATTTGAAGCATGTAGTGGTTAGTGCTCAAGAGTTACAATTTGAGGCAAACTTGTATTCAACTTTGACCTTTTGGTGCTGCCAAGAGTCAAAGTCACATAAGGCTGTGTGAGAGGAAAGACGCACCAAAGAAGCTAGGACTTCAATTTCATGTTTTCAACAAATTCTTCTCTCTAATTTGAACAATGCAACACGTGCAAGGTACTTGGCAATGGATATGTGCACCATTAATTGCTTACTTTATTTTTCACCTTTCTACCATTTTAACATGGATAAGGTTTGTAATTACTCTCGTGTTTTGTTTTATTTTTTGGATTGTTGGCAAATGAATAGGAATGGTTGAACAAAAGAAAGTTGACAAAGGTTTTTCATATAGTCCACTCAATTCCATTAGCACATTGCCATCTTCAAATTTACGCGGTGGGGCAAAATTGTAAAGTTCACCAGTTTTGTATTGAAGGTTATAAAGGCATGCCAACGGAGCGGGGCGGGTTTTGCCTCCCTAATCCCCGCTTCGACTTTTTTAACAATCTCCGTCTCTGTCTTTGATTTTCGTCAGGTTTAGAAATTAAGTTCGCATCTCCATTTCCACTGGGTTTCGGGTTCCCAACCCCGCTCCATCCTCGATCTATATTATTTTTAAAAAGATAATTACATTTATAATAAATTAATTTTCCTATGTATTTTTATATATAAATAAATATTTATAATTTATAATTATTATTAATTAAATATACATTTTAATTTATTATATTTATATTAAAATATATATGTAAAAGAAATATTTAATCATTTTATATATATATATATATATATCTAATATTTATAACATTATAATTATTATTATTATTATTATAATAATAACATTGTATTCAAATATTTGAATATTTATAACATTATTATTATAATACTGTATTCAAACATTTGATTATATATATAAGTTAATTAATTTTTAAGTTGTCATTTAAAAATATAAAATATATAGTTTATAAGTAAATATTTAATAAGTTAATTTTTATTTAATTAGTTTGAAGTAATAAAAGTTTAAATTATTAA